TGTGAAAATTACTTCTGTTTTGTTACTGAAGGTGTCATTTTTTTAGCCCTCAATGAATATGGATGTAAAATGGCGAGGTCGTATTTTCAAACCAGCTTTATGTGACGGAAACCGTTAGACAATAGACCAATCACATTCATAGATTCATAGTAGGCGTGATGAGAGTATGCTGTATGGTATGTATGTGTATTATCTCCTATGATTGGATGTTTATTCGGGAGTTGAATACACTTTCAATCTCATTTGCTTAGGATCGAAGTTAGACATCGTCCATAGATGCAAGTTTCAAGCAGATGTTAGGGGGGAGATCCAAACGTTTTCTGGGCAGTTGTATGTACACGTACGTAATCATACTGGACAAAACACGAGAGAAGTTTTATGTAAATGTAAATATTCTGTTATATTACTATGACAAGTACAGTTCACATTATTCCAGAAAGACATTATGTACCTTTCAATTCTCAAAGCAGAGGTTTGGGTTTCGGCTTATTTTTTGGTGTGTTTTTAGGCTTTTTTATCGGGGCTTCTTTTTTGCACTGGAATTTTTTACGCCAACCATACCCGCCAAAAATTAGCCAAAACTCAAACCTCTGCTTGGAGTCCGAGAGTACCTTTAAGTGTCACTTCTGACCATGCAAAGTTGAGTTACCACAAACGGCGTGTCTTTCAAAAGAAACGGATGTTTTTGCCGTCAAGTACATCGTTTATCATGTAGTCACTCTATCACACCGCTGTGTTGTTCTGTGTGTTTAGAATCGGAAGTGTTGTAGATGGACCTTGGATGTAATTACTTTGATGGATGTGTCTGGGACCGCGGTCAGTGGCTCAAGGTTGGGCTCTACCTACTAACCTAGCCTGGTCCAGTCTACCGTGTTTGGGGCAGGCTGTCTTCGGGGCTCTAAAAGTTTTCCCCCGCCCAGTACAACAGGCCGCCCCGGTAGAAGTGTTACGCCTGTGATAGAATTTGGCACGCGGTGCAAAACCTACCGGGGGAACCTAGCGCAGGCGGCGGGGAAGGGCTTCAGCAGCCCCGAAGAAAACCCGCCCCTACCACGATAGACTGGACACCAGGCTAGCCTCTGCCGGGCTTCTGAAAGTGTAGAAATTGGCCAAATAGAAGAATGACATACCGGGGGAGTTGGTCCGCGCTAAGAATACAGTTTGCCTATCCCGAAAAAAACCGTTATCTTTGAACGGAGCAACTCCCCTTTCATATCGTCTGTCTATTTGGCCAATTTCTACTTTTTTTCTAGCCGCTTCCCGAAGCCTGATAGAGGCTAGTACATCAAGGAAGCCCGGAAGCAAACCCTTGGCAGCCTCTAGACTTATTTTGGGGGGCTTTTATAATGTGTTTTTCTTTCTTATGAAATATCTGTTCTATTTGTTTCTACCTGTTCTTGTACCGGCCCAGCGTAGGGCTAAGTAGGTTACTGAACGGTAAATGTATCAAAGAATGTTTAAACCTACCTTAGAACAAGTAGTATAAGTTGATTCATCTATCCTTGTAGGTAGGTTAATTCTTTTGTATCCACGTGTCTGTCTGTATGTCTCGTTATGGACATTACGAAAGTCGCTGTACTTTAGTTGTACCAATAAAGTTCTTAATGTATTTTGACTTTGAGTATGGTAGTCAAACGCACTGCCAGCGTACTAGCCCCCTAGTGTAGTGCTCAGTGTTCAACTGTGTGGCCCAAGGACTAGAGAGTACAGAAACGGAGATGGGCACCGCCCTATACAGCGTATGGAAAGGATTTTAGCTACATGGACAGTTTGAAGCTGAGTTCCGATGATTTACAGTAGTTAGAATCCAATTAATTGATTGGATTTGTGAAGAATCTTTGTTCTCCTCCTTTCCCAAGGTCATGTAATAGTAAACGCCCCCCTCCCCACAGGTCCAGACACATGCATCATCCAGTAAACAAGGCCTGTCAGCGAGTCTTTGTTCGCGGGGCAGGTTGTATAGTCGGGCCGTCGGGTCCACGTTAGGCCACAGCAAGTAATTTTTATGGATAACATCAACGCGCATTAATTTTCGCCTGATTTCGGAAAAAAAATTATTGCCTTCTGACAGTGGTCAACATGCCGAAAATGGGCAAAGATGTCTGTTGCCATGCCGAAACGTGGATGGCAGATAAATATGAAGAGAGGAGACAAAACTCTGATCTGATGTTTTATCTTTTACTTTGATGCAGTTATGGATTGCATTCCTTATATGTGATGGTGGCTGTGTATATGTGATGTTACCTCTGAATCAAACCATTTTGCAGAATGATTGAAAACTTTTATTTTTCAAAGTTGTTTCAGTGAGAAATGGATGTTGTAATAGTTGGCAGCAAACTTAGCACAATATAAGTATCATTTCTTGTTTAACAAGGTTTATAATGTCAAAATTTGAAAATGTAGGAATCTTGTTTTTTGTTGGCCCGTCTTGTTTTTCCCCCTATCGCATTAGTTTGGAGTCTGTGGAGGATGTCATCCATAAAATTTACTTGCCGTGGCCTTACCTTCCCACCGGTACATGTGTCAGAGAACAGCCGGTGTCTCGACAGGGGTGTGCCCGCCGACTGTGGTGACGTGGGGCGGTGGAGGCAGGTGTGCATGCTTCTGTGTGCGGAACACTGTTTGCTAACAATGTGCCGCATGATACTGGTCCCCTGTATAGTCAAACCAATAGTCTCTTAGCAGGCCCTACGGGTTGGACTTCTTTTTAAATTTCATCTTGTACTTTTTATTTATAGGTACATAGTTTTCTTTAGTATAACGTACAACCCTTCCAGACACCTGTGCAGCAAGGTTTCCTTCCTGAAGCCTGGAAAACAAAGCTTTTTGTTACTCTCCAAGCAGAGGTTTGGGTTTTAGGTTTTTTGGCGTGTTTTTAGGCTTTTTTTTATCGGGGTGCAAAAAAAAAACCCGATCAAAAAAGCCCCAAAACACGCCAAAAATAACGCAAACCTCTGCTTAGAGTGTAGCTTTTGTTTCCTTCCCGATGCCTGGATGTATAACGATGCTATGGCTTCCTTCCCAATGTCTGGATAAGGAGGCTATGGCTTCCTTCACAATGCCTGAATAACAAGGCTATGGTTTCCTTCCCGATGCCTGGAAAACAAGGCTATGGTTTCCTTCTTAAAGCCTGTATAACAAGGCTTTTGTTTCCGTCATGATGCCTCGAAAACTAGGCTATGGCTTCCTTCCCGATGCCTGGATAACAAGGCTTTGGCTTCCTTCCCGATGCCTGGATAACAAGGCTTTGGTTTCCTTCCCGATGCCTGGAAAACGAGGCTATGGTGATCTGTATTTCGCTGATCCATCACGATATAATTATGTGTGTCGGCACCCTTCCCGATGCCTGGATAACGAGGCTTTTCTTTCCTTCTCAGTGCCTGTATAACGAGGCTATGGTTATCCTGTATTTCGCTGATCCATCCTGAAATAATCATGTGTGTCGGTGACGAGGCTAGGTTTCCTTCCTGATGCCTGGGTAACAAGGTTATGGTTTCCTTCCCGAAGCCTAGATACCGAGGCTATGGTTATCCCGTATTTCGCTGATCCATCCCGATATAATCATGTGTGTCGGCACCCTGCTTAACCCCGGCCCCCCCACAGGACCTCTCTATAATTGAGGAGGCGGATCCTCGTCACCGTAAATTACTTCAAGATGTCAGACGGCAAAGCCTTAACATATACTAAGGGATCATCCCTATTTATCCATCTAATCGTGAAAGAAATCTCTTGGCACGTGTGGCAACTCCATGGATCTTGTTGAGAGGAGGGTGTCGGTATTTATTGACGAGCCCTATAGGAAATATCAACAGGAATTTCAGCCATGCCAAAGCTGTCATTTTATGTCAAAACTCGTTTATGCCAGAATAGAAAACATCTTCCTCTCACAGTAAGCCTCTGGCGAGGAGAAAGTTTCGGTTCAAGATGCCGCGTTCTTAAGATTTCTTGAGATTTAAGATGGACGAGATGTAGGCTTGATGATATATCTGGGCTCAATATGCGTGAGAAGTTTTGAGAAATACAAAAACAGTTCCATCTAGCGGATTAAACTTTTCCCTAGAAACATATCGCAAAACCCGCAACACTTTCTAAAACAGCAACAAGTAATCCTCATTTGACCATTTTCCCCAAAGGTTCAATCCCTCAATTGTTTTTAAGAGTAAGGTCACACCAAGTAAATCTTATGGATGACGTCCTCGCGCGCATTGATTTTGGCCTGTTCCTAGAAAAAAAAATAGAAATTCCGCTTCCTGTAACTATGACCAAAGAGTCATGACAGTGCCACAAATCGTCAGATTGACGTGAAACCCGTAACGCGAGAACAGGACAGGACGACAACTGCTGTTCCACCTGATTTATTGCTGTTTTGATGATGAATAAAAGACTTCTTGCTTGTTACACTATGTCAATTTGTGTCCTAACATTTGTCGTCTCTTAGTGTATTTCTAATCTAGGCATCTTGTTTTTTAGGGCCCTTCTTGTTTTTTTTTCGCCCTCTCGCATTAGATTTAGGGTCTCCAAAGGACGTCATCCATAAAATTTACTTGATGTGGCCTGATCCCGAAAACGGATGTTTTCATGTTGATATGTCGTCCTTTTGATCATAGTTTGAAATTTTCATTTCCGAAGTCATATCTAAGGTTTTGACAAGAGATGAGAATATACAACGTAAGTTCAATCGTACTGTAAGAAAGTACAGGCCTAGTTGCAACATTTACCTAGAACTCCCAGACTGTAAGTCAAGTGTCGTGTGCTATAGAACAGTTACAATAGACTGTTTGGACGCAGGTGACCGCTATTTCCCAAAGCGGGGGGCACGTAACACGTTTTCACCATCAGATCCCCCCCATACAGAGAGAATCTCGCGGATTTAGTCCCGATAGGAAAAGCACAGGTTTTAATTGTCATTGGTGCGTGTTGTTTAGAGTGTAACCTATAGCTCTGTAAGCTCTTGTATCATTCGACCAATCAGAGGTGGGATTGGATCGGTCGGATGTCGTTGCTTGACTTGAGCTGTGCCGACCATGAAATTGTCTCGGAAGGAACAAGTTAGAAACAACGGTGGGTAAATATTCTAACAATGGCGACGACGTGCGAGGTGACGGCCCCCGACACGGAAGGGTCCGGGGAGCAAGACCTCACTCCTCGGGAGGACGTGCCCTCCTCCCCCGACGAACATCCAGGCAAAACTCGTGGTCGGAAACGGCGTCGTCGGAAGGCGAGACTCACCGGGCTGAGCCAGCAGAGGCAGGCGGCGAACGCCCGGGAGAGGTACCGAACAAAATCGGTCCAAGACGCGCTGCAGCAACTTTCCTGTTGTATCCCGACTCCAGTGCCGACGCCAGCAACCAAACTCTCCAAAATAGAAATACTGCGACTCGCTTCGCAGTATATCGAGCATCTGACTAACGTACTGAACGAGAACGATCCCTCGGGGCCTGGTGCGACCAAGGCCCGCCCAGAAGACGACTCGGGCACGGTGAAGACCCAAGGTTCGTCCCGAGCAAGAAGGTCTCGGTCAAGACAACCCCAAGATGACGAGACGGTCGTCTATCTGACAAGACGGAGGATGAAAGACATGAAGACAGAAGATAAAGGTAAGATATCTTTTGAAAGATAAACTTGATGGTTTCTTTCCATCTTAATGTTTAACTCCAATCTATATATATTCAACGAAACGTTCGCAGAATTAAATTGTGACAATGCCAGCTTGCGACAAATCCAGAGGTATTCTCAAAATATGCTGATCTAGATAAGACGAAAAGCGTTGTTTATATAAATTTAAAGCGCATACCAAGAATTTGTTAAAAGAAATCCAGAATTTGTTAAACGCAAAAATTCCTTCCACTTTTCCATGTATGTATCAGTATGTGACAGACATACATTTGTTCTTGTTCGAATTCTCAGGATGAGCACTTTTCTTATTTTCATTTTTGCCTCACATGTATGTTGCTTTTCGTTCATCTGAGTCGTATATAAGCATTACTATTTGTGTTAGCATAAGTTCTAATGATAGATAAAAAGTAGTTGAAGACATCCCCCACTAGTGAGATACATCTATGTCAACAGAGATAGATCACTGGGAAAACCGTTTCTAAATGAAAGAATTTGCACACAAACACTCGGTAAAATTGGGGAAAGCAGTACACATAATGTCTATAATTGCGGGGTCGACATAACTTATTTTCATTAAATAAGAAATATCATATAACGGATAAAACGTTTCAAAGTTCTTCTAGGGATATGGCTTACACATACGAGGCTCTTTCTCCTATACTGTTCTGTTGTTGCTGTCTTTTTTATCAGACAAATTCTACCTTTCTTTCGCGATTTCTCAAGTAATGAGAGAGTTTGAGGAGTAACATTAGCTTGTGTGTTATGCCGAACGGCGGTTATACCGGCTATACAGATACAGAAGCTGGTGTGTTACGCCGAAGGGCTGTTATACCGGCTATACAGATACAGAAGCTGGTGTGTTACGCCGAAGGGCGGTTATACCGGCTATACAGATACAGAAGCTGGTGTGTTACGCCGAAGGGCTGTTATACCGGCTATACAGATACAGATACAGAATATTGTCCGATTGGTGTAATTTATTTCTATCTATCAAACGTGCATATTCCAGAATACATATTCGAAATATACAGGAGAAAGATTTTGAATTGGCCACATCATCAATCCCAAGCAACGCATCCAGAGAATACTCAATATATCTTAAGATACAAAATCCACAATAGATGCAAAGGGTATGTAGGTGAATGTGGTTGGATGAATTCAACTGAGCGGCACATTCCACTTTATGTAGCTTTGATCTAATTTATGTAGCTTTATGAAGTCTGATATAAGTTCGCGTTTATCTGTCTTCAATGAGCATAGTAGCACTAAGCGTATCGTTTCATAAACTTTTGAGTTTCATTTCATTCTGTCTATCATTCGTTGATTTTCTATTGTACCGTTCGCTTAAAACATTGCGGTAACCTTTGAGACCGTTTTTTTAAACAGAAAAGTCGTGCATTTTAAAGCAGAAATCCTCAGCCAATTTCTTGTCTTTTTTTTCTCTGTGGACTTGGCGTGGACTTGATCAAGGGCGGTGGACTTTTTGGCAAGACTGTTTGGTGGTTTTTCTATTGTACTGTTCGCTTAAAACATTACGGTAACATTGAAACAATTTTTAAACAGAAAGGTAATGCATTTTAAAGCAGAAATCCTCAGCCAATTTTCTTGTCTTTTTTCTCTGTGGTCTACGGTAAGAAAATATGGGTGTGGGGACTTTTTGACAGGATCTTTGGTGGTCCTTTAGACCGGAACCTAAGTCAATGGCAGGGAAAACTGCTCCGACACGTTCTATTCTGTTATTGGTAGCTTTCAGCACAACAAAAAGGCCGTGCCTGCTGTGTTAGTAAGCGCTTGTTATTTCTTTCGTCGGATTTTGTTATTTCTTCAAACGTCGAAGATTCTTCTGTTATCGTTTCTATTGATTGAGTTGTCGGGTTGGCTGCTGAGGTCTGAATAATAGGGACTATATATCGAACACCAAGTCTGGAGTACTGCTATAGTGCATCCATTCAAACACACATTAATTACCTACCAGCTAAATGATACGATATACCCTAAAGTCAATATTTAGAAAATGTTCTTTCTTCTCGTATTTTACCAACAAAGTGACGGTGTATACCAATCTGTTTATGGACCAGTGGGACTCGAACCCGCACCCGGTGTACCTTCCCTGCCTCGGCTTTGATGTCCAAGTGCTGCTATTGAAACGTGGACGCAAAATAATCCAGTACTTACACAATAAGAGGCGCTACACTCAATGCACTCAAATATTTCCGCCCATTCTCTGTAGGCGCTCTGTGAAAACACGGCTGTGTTTCCCGTAGCTCGGGCTTGTATGGACAGCGCTTAGCCTGGTTACGGTCTGTCTTTGTCTGCCGGGGCAGGGGGCGAACCTAGGCGGGGAGGCAGGCGTCCCGCGCCCGTACGGACACCATGGCGGGGTTCACAGAAGTACAAATGCCGAACAAAACGTTTGTTTAACCCGGCGGTGGATAATTATGACAACTGCAAAGTGTCGGTGACCCCTCTTGGCCGGAGCGTTGTCGGGCGGTTGGTTTTGGGTGACGATCGTCTACGACAGGGGAACTTACTAGCCTCTATTAGGGTTCGGGAGGCGGCTGGAAAGAGTAGAAATTGGCCAAAAAGTGGGAGATAACATGCCAGGGGAGTTGGTCCGCTTGAGAGTACATTTTGACGCACCAGAGGCCTGGTAGAGGCATGGAGTTAAAAGACTACCTCCATGGTAGAAGCTAGGAACTTGTACAACCCAGCAAGCCGTTACTAGCTCTACGTATACTTCTACTTCTGCTATGGCAGTGAGAGAATTTGGCTGTACACAACTCTCCAAGCAGACGTTTAGGCTTCGGTTTTAGTTGGCGTGTTTTATGCGTTTTTATCGTGTTTTTTTGTGTGTGTGCTGGTATCTATTTTACGTCAGTCTCATGGCAAAATGGTAACTGTCTGGCAAATGGATACTGCCTAGCCAATTTGATACTGTCTTTGCAGCAATCGAAAGATCTGCTTGGAGATTAGCTACATGTATACTCCGCATTAACACTGTAATCTGGATAGGACGAACATCATTTTGTAGTAGAATGTAGTTTGTACAACAGAGAGAGAGAAAGAGAGAGAGAAAGAGAGAGAGAGAGACGTACTCTTTATACCTTTTCCTGCTGGCATTTTTACACAATATTTTCAACTAAGACAGATACAATTACACTTCATAGCATAGACAGAAGAAAACTAGTACTATGTTTCAAAACTCAATTTCAGGATCGTCAGAGCGAAATATAGCCTAGGAATTCGGCTTTGAGCAAGGATTGTCAAACATTGCTAATCTACGCTTCCACCAAAACGCCTGCTGCACATAGAAGGCCTGCACAGGAGGCTAGTAAAGATATCACTTTTCGCTTGAGTAGTCTTATTATCATGCTGTATTACCAAAACAGAATCTTGAATCAGGCCATTTACAGGGTGATGATAGAACGAATGTAGTACGTGTTTTTTGGCGTAGGTTTACTTGTTGTTTGGTGACAGGCATGGTTAGTAGAGTAAGACTGTGACATAATTTATACCGTAGTAAAATGTTGAACTTTATTCCAACACAAAGATTTCACAGAGATCAAATTTTCAACGAGTACTGTCGCCTTCATCAGGATAATGAATGACCAATCACTTCAAAACGTAGTCGTTAAAAATTTGATCTCTGTGTAATCTTTGTGTTGGAATAAAATACAGTGTAGACATTATTGTACACAATTATTATTACACATATTTTTCTCTGTAATTTGTAACAGAAAATTTTAACTGCATGAAAAAAGTCCACATATTTTTTAGATAGTGCCCACTTGTAGGAATTATATATAATACTGTACATAATCATTATTTTTTTCAACGTAAATTGTTGCAGGAAATGTTTTAACTGCATGAAAAAAAAATTCACATATTTTCTAGATAGTGCCCACTTGTAGGAAGTGTAGACAATATTGTACAGAATCATTAATACACATTTTTTCTCTGTAATTTGTTGCTGGAAATTTTTTTAACTGCATGAAAAAATCCACATATTTTTCTAGACAGTGTCCACTCGTAGTACAGAATTATTATTACACATATTTTTCTCTGTAATTTGTAACAGGAAATCTTTAACTGAATGAAAAAAGTCCACATATTTTTTTAGATAGTGCCCACTTGTAGGAATTATATATAATACTGTACATAATCATTATTTTCACAGTAAATTGTTGCAGGAAATTTTTAACTGCATGAAAAAATACACATATCTTCTAGATAGTGCCCACTTGTTGGAGGAAGAGTATTTAATACTGTACATAATCATTATTTTTTTCACAGTAAATTGTTGCAGCAAATTTTTAACTGCGTGAAAAAATCCACATATTTTCAGTCAGTGCCCACTTGTAGGAGGAAGAGTATTTAATACTGTACATAATCATTTTTTTTCACAGTAAATTGTTGCAGGAAATTTTAACTGCATGAAAAAAGTCCACATATTTTTTAGATAGTGCCCACTTGTAGGAAGAGTATTTAATACTGTACATAATCATTTTTTTTTCACAGTAAATTGTTGCAGGAAAATTTTAACTGCATTTAAAATCCACACATTTTCCAGACAGTGCCCACTTGTAGGAATTGTAGACAACATTGTTATAACAGCTACCTACGCTGTGTACTTAAGACCCAGTCGTTACCAGACGTCCTTGGGTCCCACCGTCCTTAATTGCAGGGCCCACCTAGGTGCCCACCTGTCCGAAACCCACACCTGTACCCTCAAAAGGTGCGGTTTCACCTGACATGTCACCTGGTAGGGCTAATCGCTGTCTGGACAGCCCCGGTACGAGGTGATTGATGACCGTACAGAACCGGACACCCAGGCGGTGAAAGACGCCGTCAGGACCCGATCTCTCGCCGGTTCCGATCCCCTCCCATTTCTATTCACGCTATAAAATGTTGGCCGACGATTTCATTACGTGATGACTGATGATATGTAACTGTAGCCCTTTTTTGTGGTTTAGCTGCTGTACGTCTGTGTTGAATGGTACGTAGTGGGACTAAAATGGGGTCAACTTCAAGCAAACGGTTTGGGATAAATTTGGGGAAAATATTTGGTCTAGTTTTCTATTTTCCAGTGATGACTGATGATATGTAACTGTAGCCCTTTTTTGTGGTTTAGCTGCTGTACGTCTGTGTTGAATGGTACGTAGTGGGACCAGAATGGGGCCAACTTCAAGCAAACGGTTTGGGGAAATTTGGGAAAGTTTTCTATTCTCCAGAGCGTTTTACTCAGATATATATAAGATACTAATAAATGCACTTAAACGAATTTAACGGATACATAATAGACCACAAATTTCTTTTAAAAAAACAACTACCAAATGAAGTGGTTGCACTTATTTTAACGGGGAAAAAACTTTTCGTTGTGCTATGAACAGATACTACCAAGCAACATACAAAAATACATAATTGTTTATTGCAAATTCTTGCCCGAGGGCTAATTGCAGAAACAGAAGAAACATGGTATAAAAACAGGCAATTAGTACATATAGAGCTATTGATAACTACTAAGAAACTACTGGTAAAAAAACTACTGGGTTTGACTTCTTTTTTGAAGACAGAGGAAGACAAAGGATCCCACTTTTTCTATAATTTGTGGGTTTTCGGATGTTAAGAGGAGAGTGGTTTTCTTTTCATTTGTATATGCGTGAAAGTTTGGGTAGAATTTGGAGGCTACGTCAAAGAGTTCATTTTGTTCATTGCTATAGAGGGTACAACTTGATAAAAAATGCATTTCGTCTTCCACCGTATTCAACGTACAATGTTTACAAATTCATGTTGACAAGAAGAAGCGTTCGAATCATACAGTGCACAATCACACAATCAACACAGTGAACGATGAATTTTGAAGTGTCGATGATACAACTAGCATTTTTACAGTTGGTTATTGATGGTATGAATACCTCTCTTTCAAATTTGTAAATATTGTAGTGCAAAGGCTGTGGAAGACGAAATACACTTTATCTCAAACTGTTCCTTTCATAGCAACGCTCGAAATGAGTTGACTATTCAAACTTCTACAATTTACCTCAAATTTAATAAACTTACAGACAAAGAAAAAACTATTCTTCTTTTAACTTCCCCAAATCCACTAATTTTAGAAAAGGTGGGACATTACGTCTTCCATGGTCTAAAAAAGAGAAGTCAAACCCCTTAGATATAGTCTTAGACATAGCTATAGCTCTAGACAACTACCTTTCATCATGTAGATTTTAGTTATTTCATACTCTGTTTCATTGTTCTTTTATGTTTGTAATTTGCAATTAGCCTCCGGGCACGGATTTGCAATAAACTTCTCTTCTCTAATTAACACAATCCCTAATTAAAACCGTTGTTTCATTGGCGACGTAACACCTATGGCTGTGAATGATTCCACGCAAAACAGGAAATGTTTTAATCGAAAGATCAGTAAACGATGTAACCAGATTTCGCGCAGTTTCAGTTCAGACCACCACTGAGTGAACTGTTTTCACAGCAGTGGCGGATAGAACTGGAGAAGTCACCGGACAAGATAAGACAACGTCATCATCTTTTTTTTAATTTCCAACATGTAATCACAAGACGTGGTGACGGCACACTTAAGTTTTTTTCAACTTATATCTTATATTAATGCCGCCACCAACACATGGGAGAATATAATACTGATTTTCACCTGAGCGAAGTGAGGAAAGTCGTGTAAAGTGCCTTTCCCAAGGGCACAAGATCGGTGACATGTCATCTTCTTGAATCCAATGATGTTAAAGCGATATTATGTAAGATTTTTGCGCCCAAAGTGTAAATATTTTCTCATCTAGATTGTCATTTTCAATAACTTTCATAACTTTCAACATATTAGCGTCGCTATTTCGCAGTTTTCCGGCGACTCAGCGCAGCGCGAGAATAAGTTGCGCCAGGCCCGCTGTATTTTTAGGAGGCTCCTAAAAAGAATGTAAACAAACAGCGGCTTTCGTTCGGGTATCTTCGACAACTTCCGGTGCGTTTTTGCGTCGACGTTGATCTTTTACTCACCAAATGTCATTATGAACCCAGGTAGGCTTATAGCGCAAGAAAATGTGTAAAACAACGATGTTTAAAATAGTGAAAATCTTACATAATATCGTTTTAAACTTTCTATTTAAATTTTGGTCGCATTCATATTGCCTCTCCCTTACTCCAAGTCTACCAAACAAGCTTATGTACTTCAAACCACTCTGACAGTGCGACAAACATAATGTTCAAATAATATCAGACACAAGAAGAAGTATAAAACTTTAAAACAAAAAGTTAGTTGTTGACTATACTAACGTTAAAGGTGTAATAGTAACGGCCTACTTTTGAATTTGTACGGTCTACTTTTAAAGTCTTTCGCGGAAATGTTCTTTAAACATCTTTAGTCTATGCATACGTTTCACATTCGATGTTTTCTTGCTAAGACGCCAAGTCTTTGATATCTTGCTCATTTCCTAATGTTTACGCATCTAATACCTGCAGAGACAACAGTCTTAGGCATATCTTCTACTACTATGTTGATTAGAAATTTCAAGGCCTTTCAACACCGGGTTGATCCAGTTACGACTTGGGAATCCGCTGTTAAGGTGCCAAGTCCTGTCTGGTTCCATATTTGACCGTTAAGAATGCTGTTTATTTTTGGAATCGGTCCGAAGTGGTGTTAATTGGGACGTAATTGATTCCACCAACCAGATGAATCCAATTATCACGTGATCAGTGAGAAGGGATATGATAGGATGATAAGGGGGATGATGTTACAAGTCTTTTGGAGACTTGTTTTTGACACAGGATTCTGTTGCTTGTTGTGTGGGCTATGTTGGTTCTTGCATGTTTCTTTCATTACAACTTTCATCTAATTAATTTGTATCTGTCTTTACGTTCTGGTTTGCTTCGTTGCATCATGGAGAAGACGGAAAACATCTTGTTTTTGCTCTGTTTCTTCTTCTTCTTCTTCTTCAAACCAATAAGGTCGATGACCAGGGCCAGACGTCTGTCACCATGGCAACTAGTGCTGGGTTACAATTTATCATGTTGCAATTTTATAGCAGGAGGGATTTACACTCCATATATATGAATGTGTTTGAGTAAGAATTAACAGAGCAGACCATATGCGAAGGTAAACATTATGCATTTGCTTAGTCTCTACTTGATTTTATGTTTTAAGTGGATCGAGTGTGGGAGGATGGAAGTTCGAACCCCGCTTGGGCACGATTATGATGGGTTACGTTGCATTCGGTTGGGGACCCCAGTGCATGGAGGAGCTTTAGGTGTTAGCCTTATGTGTCAAAACTGACGCTGATCAATAAAGATCACTCAAACATGTAATATTAATATTTAATATTGTTATCATTATCATTTCAGGGCCGACTGATGCGACAGGGAGTAACTTTGACCCAACCCAGTCTGGTGAACAGATGAATGTTCAATCCTCAAACCACAAGGATGTCGGAACTATTGAAAACAATCAAAAAGATCTCGAGCAAATCACAGCACAGAATTTAAAGAACAAAGCAGGCTCTGAATCTAGGCATTGCAAAGGATCCAACGCGAAGCACCTGCAAACCGGAAGCAAAGAAACCGGAAACGGAAATACCGGACGACCGTACAATGTTCACGAACTTGACGTCGGGAACTTGTCGGAAGTTGAAGACAGGCGATTGGTCCGCGAAACGCGTGCACAAGTTTCGTGTTCGAAATACGCAGGACCGCAATGTCGCGAGACATTTCGCAACACAACAGGAAACGGAGGTTCCGGCGAGAAACTCCACCATCCACCTTACCTCGTACTCAATGGAAACGGAGTTTCCGGATTACCGGATTGCAGGCACCAAACTCTGCACGGATTCGGTGTATCGCAGACCGTAAATAACGGAATACATGGCTTCAAAAGCTGCCAGATGACGGATTTCGCCGCGGGAAGAGGAGCATCCGGATTTTCCGGATTTGCCGATTATTCCGGATTCCACGGCGCCATGATGCCGAGACAGTACGGACAGAACTTGTCTTTCGAGAGTGACGATTCCAATCTCTCTATCAGCCGCTAATGAACAAGACAGACAGTCCGTTCACTGCTATCTGAAGAAGCAACTGTGTATATGTTTTAATGGTTATCAGCTTTTACCCTCAGCGTATCATGCTCAGAAAAGTACTGTATAAGTGTATTGAAGAATCCCTGTTACTATTCGTTTCTTCTCTCTTGTTATTCGCATGTTACAGCAATTTAGCTTCTCGGTGATACAATGCTTGTGCTCAGCTTTGAAATGTGCCGATTTCTGAAAATTGTGACGCAAGACGAAATGCTAGAATAAAGGATTGATATGGCATATGGCACACGGGTGCGCAAAAGTTCTGCAGTTCTCTTCTTCGCCACTAGGCTTCGCTTTACTGGTAGTGCACATGTACAGGCCCTTGTGAATAATATAGCCTCGCGATACCAAGGAGGTTAAATATATCCTTGGCAACACAGCGCAGTAAGTACCTATTTGCTACACGCAGTAAAAAATACAACAAAAACAAGATGGCTCTTCTAGCCACGTCAAAAATAAGCCGAAGCCTAAAACCGTTTGGAAAGTAGAAAAAGCCCCGACTACTCAGCGAACCCATAGCCTCTACCAGGCTTCGGGAGGCGGCTGGAAAGACAAAGAGTAGAAATTGGCCAAATAGAGAGATAACATACCTGGGGAGTTGGTCCACTAGA